TATTATAAATTTTATAAAGATAATAATTAAGTATTCTGTTAGAATTTAATGATTATACTAATTATATTTTAGATTTTTTATATTTAAAATAAGATATTTATCTTGTATTTGATTGTGTTTATCCGAAATTAGTTACACGAATTCAGATATGGGATGAAATTGGATAGGGATGAAATCGTTTAGGAATGAACGAGTTTAAGAGTTTTTAAGAGTTTTAAGAGTTTTTAAGAGTTTTAATAGTTTTTAAGAGTTTTAGCCAAATGCTTTATAAGATAGTATAGATATATATATATATATATATATAGAGAGAGAGAGAGAGAGAGGKTGGTTCAAATACTAACCAAAACTATTGTGCAAACTATGCTAACCAACATCAACTAATCATGTTCCATCTTTTAGTTAGGTTCAAATGTAACTCACATATTAATTGTATGGGTAATTAGGTAATTTATCATTCTTATGTAACTCCCAAATATTTTAATTGGGAGTTACAAATATTAAAATATCACTAATTGACCTTCATATAATAATAACATGAAGTTTACATGTGTTCATCTCACTGGATTTTACATTTATTATTCCTATAATGGTTTTGATATTGTAAATTTGGAAAAAGTCTTTTTTGTAAAGATTCCGTTATAGTCCGAGTAATATGGATAATCATAGAGTAAAACGGATCGACGACAATGAGAATGAAAAATATAAAAACGTCTACGAATACATTCGGAATTCGAATTCCGAAAGTGAAGAAAATGATCAATAAGTGTCCCAATATATATATATATATATATATATATATATATATATATATATGAGGGTTGGTTCAAATGTTAACCAAATGTATTGTGTTAACTTTGTTAACCAATCTTGGCTATTGATTCTTATAATAAACGGTTGTGATTTATCATATTGAAAATTTAGTTTTTTAAATTTACAATTTCACAAACATATGTGAACTAAGTGGAAAAATGTATTTATGTAATTTTCTTTTTTATGTAACTCCCATATCATTAATTGAGAGTTATGAAATCAAAAAATTCCATGATTTTTGTTAATTTATTTTTGTTAATGTAAGAACCATATGAACACATCTATATATATGAGTCATTGTATCAAATACAAACAAAAATTGAAATATATATGAACTTAGAATGCATAACATTTATGAACATAATAAGAATAGTTGTTACACGAAAGGAAATAAATAAAAAAAACAGATATGAACACAATATGAACAACTTGTGAACAATAGTTCATTCATTATGAATACATTTAGGAGCGAGCCAATGTTGAGATATGCAGCTAGTGTACATATGAATACAATATGAACAACTTGTAAACAATAATTCATTCATTATGAACACATTCAGGATCGAGCCAATGTTGTGATATGCAGCTAGTTGACAATGATCA